TTTGAACCCAAAAAGGGAACCCGCAAACCCCTATGGAGCCCCAAAACGCGGGTGATTTGAAGACCAGGTCCAACAATTTGGTCGATGAAATGGACTGGCACCAGTACTTGATCATCAGAGTTTTTTAGTGGTTGACTTTGATACGTCCCGAACACAGTCGGCAAAAGGATGGCCGTCCAAAAGCCGCCGGTCGTCCACTTCCATAATTTTGGGAAAGAACATAAAAACAGACTGAGCACTACCCGCATGTCCTGCCCAAATCTACCATAGACTTCGACTGGTAGCAAGAAGGCCTCCAGTCGCTGGGTTCCCTCCATTTGCTTAAACATATGTCATGTGTCCAATATGTGATAGAGTCCCTTTAAAAACAAACAAATCCCAACAGTGATGGGTTCCCTTTAACACCAACAAGGGCTGAAAAAAAATATTAAGCAAATGGAAGGCGGTTTAAGCTCACTGTACATGGCCAGAGCTGCTCCAGGGTCCGAACTCGGACTGGTTCGAAGGAGTTGCCGCGTCGAAAACCCATAAAGGGCCGCCGCAAATCGGCTGATGGCTGAATTCCTGGACGTTCTCTAGCTGAATTCCATGTGGTTAAATTTCATGTGGTTGAACTCCGTGTAATTGAATTCCATGTGCTTGAATTCCATGTGTTTGAACTCCATCATGTTTGTTTATACCACAATTCAAAACCTGAAAGAAGAATTGGATCCCCGGGTGCAGGGCCTACAGCCTTAATAATGTGCTGGTTTTACCTCCGATCGGAAAGCTTAGGCAGATGTTGTTGCAGCTTGAATTCAGCAGTGGCTGAAGCGGTTGTTAGGGCAATCTATCTACATCAAGCAAAACGACTGGGCAGACCTGTTTGTGCCATTGTCAAGACAACAGATTACTTGGGCTCAGCAGGCTGGTAATAACTCCACGTAAGAAATCAATACATGAATTTAGCTAAACAACCATTGCAAGGGCGGTTTTCACACCATGACCATGGCCCGAAGAGTTTTAACCCTGGCAAACAAGACATCGATGATCTGTCTCAGTTTCCTTGACGTGGCCTCCCTCCCCTCGGAGCGAGCATGGAGCTGTGCGTGAGGTTGTGGTCCGTTATGTCACAGTTCCAAAAGTGGTCGAGCATCACTCACCAGTTACCTGCAGAATTCTAAGCTCAACAGTTTTCTGGGAACTTTTGCCCGCCATGCCTCACTCTCCAGCCATGCACTTTGAAGCCTCTCTCTCTCTCTATCCCTCTCGCTCGCCGGATCACCGCTGAAGGGCAGTGGACCTGCGTCTTCCGCAAATCCGACAACTGTATCCGGCCGCGGGCGGATCTTCAAACATCCGTCCTCAAAGTCTCGGCACGGTTCAGAGGCCTTGTGCCCCAGCCTTCCCGCCAGAAAAAACGTTGCCAGGCTCAAATGTACCGGGCAAACGTCCAAGCTTCTTCTTGCATCATCTCCAGGACATTCCTCGACCTGGGCCAACATCAGTTTGTCAACGCTTACACTGTCCACAGTAGCGAAAGGCAGCGAGGCCGGGGTGCCAGGGCTGAAACTGAACCTGGCCGGAGCCGAAAAGAAAACTCAGGTGGAGGAAAGGGGAACCGAAAATTTCAGGTGACACGCTGCTACGCGGCATGGTCAAGCAGGAGAGTGATGCGAGACATGACTGGCCACTTTGCGAGGAATTGACCGTCTCATCTCATCACCTCTCCCAGCCGGAGCCTAGGGGATCGACCTTCCCCAACCAATCCACTGGTGCTCGTTTCTCAGCAAACCAGCGCCGATGTGCCGATGTGCCGATGCGCCGCTCTTGGCAGGCCTTCGGCCCTTCGGCAAATTGGCTCAGTCCTTTGGCTTTCGGGCTGCGAGTTGCCCAGCGAAAATGTTCGGCCCAGGGCTTCCGCCCAGGATGGAAGATTGCGCTCGGACGTGGCCAGAGCTCGCGCAGTGCAAGGGCTGGCGAAATAGCAAGTGACAGAGCTGAGAAACCGGTGAAATAAACGAAACATCCTATCAGATTTAGTAGGAAACAGGAATCATACAAATCACGAAGGCCCAATGTACTTGAACCCAAGGCAAACAAGGGGCTGTAAAGTAACTTGGTCTATGCACCGTTGAGGGTCGGGTCAAAGCCTTGTTTAAACATCGTCAAGCGACCCTTGCTTCAACAACTGCTTCCCCTCGAAGGGTACCAGGGGTTGGCTTGGACACACTTTGCCCGATCCTGATGCACGGGCACGGTGCCGAACATGGTCAGGATGCACATCAAGCAACTGAAAATTGCGGCCCAACCACACGGTGTTTCCAAACAGAGAGAACCTACCCCTATGTTCAAATGGTTATTGTTCTGTTGTAAATCTATGACCATCCATCTGAAAGGCTATATATGTATATATATATATATATATGTGGAATACCCATGTGTTTTTTTTCCTGACCCCAGGTTTGAGACTGATCTCAAACCATGCTTTTGGCTGAGGTCCTACGCCAATGGCAATAAGACTGCCCGCGGATAAGTCATTGCAGAGTTCATTGAAAAATAAAGTTCAGCCTGTTCTTGCAACTTCATCGCCCATCCAATTAAGCCACTGCTTTGTTGCTCAGAGCTCCAGCAGCAATTTGCTCATCAGACCACTGCTCCTTGGCACGGTGCACAGCGAGCCCTGTCCACGCCAGCCCAAAGGAGCAATGCATCTTGGCAAGTTAAGCCACAACTCACAAATGCAGTCCCCCGAATTGCAGTTTTTCGGACCTTCATGGGTCAGCTCCTTTTACCCCCACATGGCTCGTGATAATTTGTGAATCCTGCCAGATGTATGCAAATGTGGGTTGTCTAAAGAAATGTAAGACCCCTTGTTGAGATGGTGTTCCAAGCAAATAGAGGGACACCCACCACACACAAGCGAATCCCCATTTTTGGGAAGCACCCATTGCCCGACGACCTGTACTGACCGATGCAAACTGTGCAGGGAAAGGACGACGCAAGAGGACCAACAAACATTGCGCACCCTGTAGCTTCAATTACATAAGTGGCGTGGTCAAAACTCGTCAATGGTTCCCGTAATGAGAACTTTTGCACAAACAAACACACACACACACACACAAACAAACACCTCTCACGTTTGCACACGTCTGGGTCGAGACCCTAAAGTCGGGCGGAAAGAAGAGAAAGGCTTTGATGTTGGGACATTGCATCCTGGCGGTCAAGGCGCAAGCAGTAAGTTAATCAGAAACCTTCACTTTGGTTCGGAAACCTCAGTGAAGATCCGTTTCCATTTGACACAAAATCTACGAAACAAAGCACTTTGGCTCATCCGCACACCAATCGAGGTCGAAGCATTGCATTTTGCAATCAACTTTGTGTCGGGAAGCAGTCCATTCCCTTTGCATTGGTTGTGTAGATCCCCTATTGAGGGGTTGATGACTATCCACACCCACCCGCAGTGTAAGGGTGTCTCGACCAGGGCACATACGACTGCGCCAACCCATGACTGTCCAAGGGTAAACTACCAAGTGAGAGCTGGCCAAATGATGATCAAACGGACATCCACCCCAAACAATTATGCGTTGAAAATTACCAACGAGTTCATCAGAATGGACCTTATTGATGGCTCCCATGTGGGTGAGCCTGTCTTGCCCAAAATGCGCATGGATTTGAATTTGGGACGCTGTCACTGACACCATTTACATGGCGAACTTATGTCCATCAACCATTTTGTAGCCTGTTCCGACATTCACAATTACTATTCAAATTGAGCCTAGAAGCTCAATTTCCTCTTGTGAAGCAACCCTCTGGCAAGTGCCATGGCGGGAGAGGCGCAAATCCACCGGATCGCTGCGAGAATTTCCCGTGCGGCCATGCGACGGCCAGGAGCTTCGCGTCTTCCAAGAGCTCCTGGAAACGCTCAGGTCACGCGCTCGCTTCAAGCCAATGGTCCTTGAGCTAAGCCTAAGCTGCACTTTGGCGTGCCAATCAAAGTGCACAGCAACACTTGAAAGGAAAGTCGTCTTGCACAAAGGGTCCACCAGTACTTCCATGTTGTTGCTTTTTTAGGTGGTAGGGTAACATGGTGAATGACCAGACCATGGTGCTTGGAAACCTGCCATCGGATAAATGGCGGCCCATTGCTCATTTTTTCGGCCAGCCAGAAAATTGGGATGCCGAGTATGTGGGGATTGGCCTCGTTGCGATCAAGGATGAGGGGCAGATGGTGTTCACGGCATGCGGAGTGGCTGGGATCCTCAAGAACAAAAAAGGGCGCCGTTTTACGGGAAGGGCGCCTCTACCCCTCGAGCTGTTGGGGTTCCATCGAGGTTTGTGTGAAGATAGGCGGTGCCCCACAAAATGTGGTTTTACTTTGGCTTCCCTTTAAACCAAGCTGAAAAGGGTACCTCACGCACCCATCTGACTTTTCAGGGACCACATCCCTCTTTGCTCTCGTTCTCACCCATGACGTGGCACAGCGAGATGGCACTGTCCGTATTTGGTCGACCCCTCCCGGATTCAAGTGCAACCTGGTGGATTCACAAGCGGAGTGTTTCCCCAAAAAGTACAGGCGTCCCTCTGAAAGGAGGCACTCCCAGATGAAAATCAACCAAGGGTGCATTCATGGTTGGCAGCAGTCCGTGGGATGATTCGCCGGGCCAAGGGGTGATTAGCCGACATGCCAGTGACCATGCCACCCTTTGTCGGTCTTTAAGTCTTTCCGCCTCTGCGTGCATGCGCGGGCGCGAAACGGCACCGATCTCTTCACTTGTCGCCAGTTGCTTCAGGCTTTGCTGAGGGCAACCTAAGTCTTCCAAGCTCCGCCATTTTGAGGCATCGGGGCTCGGCCCGTCGACTCCCTAATCTTACCGGTCCAAGCATTCCCTAATCCACTCTGTAATCCGTGCGGGAAAACCCACTATACAGGTTGTGGACATAAAGAAGCCAAACACCTGCAACTCAAATCCCATGACGCCGCGCTGGCTCGCAAGCATTGCGAGCTTTTTCTTGTGGATTCAAAGAACCTCCATCTTCCAGCCGTGCATGGCGATGCCCTTGCGGTGCTTCTCCCACAAGAGGCCCACCGACTTGAACCACAAGGCACGCCTCGGCTTAAACGCACAAAATCAGCAGTTTGACGTGGGTGTGTCTTAAAATGAGGGAGCCTTCGAAAATTGGTGTTGCTTCCCTTCGAATGACCTCAAAAGGAGGTACCCTCGAAAAGACAGACCCATTTGCGGGTGGCCCTTCCCAACAAGCAAACCATAACCTCGAAAAGTAATTAAGCAGTGGTTAACTTGGGTGGGGCTACTCCCTTGTTCAAACCACGGTTTATACCACTATTGCTAAAACCTCCTTTCGGGTTCCCTTCTTTAGTGGGCCAGGGTTGGTTGCTCAAACACTTTTTGTCCGACCCTGACGTTTGCAAATCCACCCCGACACATCAGGGTTGAACAATTGGTTTGAACAACCAGACCCTGGTCCCTGAAAGGAGAACCAAAAGGAGATTGTCTAAACAAGGGTGCTAAAGCATGGTTAAACGGGTAGCTTTCACTCAAAATGGTACTCGTGCCTTCCCATTCACTAACGCCGTGGAACCTGACGCAGAGGGGGGAATCTGGTTTGGACTATTTTCCTCTTTACAAAAGGAACCCTCCAGTAGTTTCATCTGAGTCGCAGGGATAGTAAAACTTACGCGACTTTTCAGAGACATCCACAACAGACAGGACAAAGAGCCCGACACGCTGGCATCATCACCAGCAAAATGGTGGTTTCCCCAACTTTGGGCGTTTGGAAGGTATAAGGAGACAAAGGAGATCAAATGTGTCACTTTTCCAAATTGTATCTTAGCCTTGTCACGCCCTCCGACTTCTCGATTTTTCTTCTGAACGGAGGCGCATGGCCAAATGCTCCTTGTTGCTCTTGGCGATCTCTGCGTACCAGTTCCCCTAGGGCCAGAATTGCCAGGGGACGATTCAACCCTTGCTCAAACATGTTGTGCTTTTCACAATTCAAATATACAAAACAAACAACATCGTATGAACAACCTCCTTTTGGAGTCCCTGAAGCTTGAAAGAAGCTCAGGGCGAGTTTGTCGGAACACATTTTGCTCAAGCCTGCCTTGGGCCCATTGGGCCACTGCATCTCCCCAAACTTGGGCTCAAAGAAGTAGTTCACACCCAGGCGGTCCTGAGGTCAAATTTAGTATAATCCTCAAAATTACCTCCGAGCGCTTCGAAGGAAAACCCTCGAAACGTCCACTTTGAATGACCCAGAGTAATGGCTGTCAAAGCGAAGCTGAGATATAAATCTAGCTGAAGGTTTGGTCCCCGATTTCCGGGAACAAGCGCAGCTTCACAGAGCGGCAGTTCGAGAACGGAGCTGGATCCATCTAAGCCATGCGCCCGCAAGTGACGCAGACTTAAAACAGCCTGACTATAATCTGTCTCACAACCCGACCCAAATCTGAAGGCCCTCATCTTTCAATCGCATTGTTCGATTCAGGCTTCATGTACAAAGTAGGATCCCACAAACATCTTGCACACCGCCTGCTGTATGTTTGCTCTTCCCAGAGACTGGTGATGTTCGAACCCCTCTTGGTTCCTTGATGTCCCAGGTGAGGATCATAGCACAACAGTTTCTCCGCCTCTGCATGCCGGGGGCCACTCATCTCTCTCGCCAGCTGACCAGTGGAGAATGGTTCAATCATTTTCACTCCAAACCAAGTAGTGCCCTTTCGAAGCTAGGACTCCACCAAAGTTGGGCCAATATGTTTTTGAGCACCCACTGTGCAAACAGCCTCCTCTTGCTTCCCCTTGAACAGAATTGCTCAAATGGGTGGGAATCCCTCGTCCCAATCCATTTTCCATAGTGGAACACCACAAGGGAAACCACCATCTAGCACACGGACTCAGGATTGATTTGGAGCCCAGTTCGAAGGTGGCCAGTGGTTGCTTCGAAAAGAACGCCCGCAGTGCTCCCACAAAACCCGCGGGGCTAGTTGGGTATGGGTCAAAATGTACTCACCCGGGGACCGCAGGTTTTAGTCCTTCTTTCCATTTACCAGGGCTCCACTTTGGGGTACCTATTTTTGACCCGCAGCCATTTGGCACCGAAAAGCGGCCTCCGTTCGGTTCGGGACCCCGAAATGAAGCGAACGCTTCCTGGTGGAGATGCTCAACGGTGTGCAGGAAGTTGCTGGGGATAGCCAGCCCCTCTCCAGGGACCAGATGCACCTGGCATCCAAATCTAACCACCATTTGGGGTGAGGTCGTGTGAGGTCGTTCTGATTCACCCAGATCCAAATGGCTTCTCCAGAATTGGCGAGCGTGTTTGTTGAGGCGTGCCCGTGTTGAAGAGGACTGAAAGGGAAACCAAAAGGACACTAGTCATGTTGGGGTTCCCCTCCCTATTTTGACACAGTGGCTGGCTTCATTTGGTTCCAATGAAAGGCCTTCCAAAACGGCTGCCACCCAAATCCAATATTGATTCAGAGCCGCAACCTGGGGAGCTAGAGGAGGATAGCCTCTAACGGCCCAAACAATTGGCCGTAGTGACCACTAATCATTAGGCAATATGACTTTGAATGGCTCCCCTTGCGAGTTGGCTCTGAATCATACGATGGAATCCGTCCAGCACCGCGTTCACGGTCCTTCGAAACATGTATGTCCCATGGTTCCCGCAGCTAATCAGAAAACTGTTCCTACCACCCCACAACACTCGACACTCCTCCACCCCCCCATCCCCGCAACGGTCGGGAGGTGTTCCAAAGCGACGGAGCTCTCTGACATCAAATATTTTCCATGTCCCAATGCGCAGGGTGGTTCCACCCTCAAACTGGCGCTGCCGGATCGGGGATCGGTCTTTTCCTCCCTTTCCGGCCTTGAGGTACTTCCCGGTCACTGTCTCGTTGGGCGAGCGACTGTCCCAGCACAGATCCCGCGGCAAGATGTAGACGTTGGTCTCTGAGACCAGCTCCATCAGCACATTGTCCTCGATCCCAAAATCGGAAAAAGCTCCCCGAACCCTGACCCCAAGGCAAAGCCAAGAGGGAATGGTGTTGGGTGTTGGAGGTTCTCGCGTTAGAGTGCAGACTGGTTTGTGACACGTCATCCCACTTAAAGGTAAACTTTATTCAAAGGTGTCAGCACGAGACCGTACCTTCTTGGCAGCGGAAAAGGGTTTTCCTTGCAACACGCTGGCGATGCTGGAGGGAGGTGACCATTTTAGTCAACAAAGACCGTCAACAGCAGATCACATCATGTCGGGCTCGAAAAGTGCAATTTCGTAGCTTGCTTCGTAGAGAACTTGGATGCCGCCAAGCGAGTCGCAAAAGTCAAGTTTACCGCGACGTCTACTTTTGAAATGAAAGCTACTAGCACTGTTACGCGAGTCGGCCTCCCGCAGAGCTGCATATGTACGTCCGTGCACGTGCCTTGAATCGGGCCCAAATTTCGAGCATTTTGTCTGAGCTTCAGTTTTATGGCTGGGAAGATCTTGGAAAGATATTCATTCCGACTTTGAGTTGCCCGACCTTCCGAATGAGGAGGTGAATCTTTTTGCGGCACACGGGAAAGTACGTAGCAAGCAGTGCAGTGCATCTTCTTAATTCAGTCAATGGATACGCAATAGTTACATTGTGTAGCTGTTGCTATTTACGTACCAAACTCCTGCACTGCACTGGGAGATTTCAGCCTATTATATGCAAAAACTATAATCTTGCTGGTGCTCAGTAGGGAATGGGGGCATGAACCCAGGGATTCCCCTAAACCAGTTGGATGGTTTGTAGCGGTCATTCCCTCATTCCCTACTGAGCAGCCAGTAATTCGCAGCGCGTACGATTTCATGTCGTCGGCTTTCAGCCCGGTCCTGCACGTCAGTGTGCAGGGAGAAGGTGGGGGGGAAGGGGCTCACCCCCAGCCAGAGCATGCCTGGGGCCGGATCCGATCCAAAAGGTCCCTTGCTGGTTGAAACGAAAAAGATCATGGAAAACCCAAAAAAAACAGTCCAAGGTAAAGCAAAATATAGTGATGTTTGAACTAGTCAGGTCATGTTTGAACTAGACAAAAACTACAAATCTAAAGAAGGTGAGCTCAAGCACTTAGCAAAACGCAAAACAAGCAAGCTAAGCCATGATGCTCAGCATGCCCTCCACGCCGGTGAGCCCTAACTTCTCCGGCACCTGCGCTCTTCTGTGGGTCATGTTGAGGCGGCCCAAAAACGTGGGAGTGACTTCCAGTTGGTCTTTCTTTGGGTCTACACAAAAATTGCCCACAAAAACACGCGCACACACACACACACAGACAAACGCACTTGAAGAAACACACACACACACACACACACACACACTGTCACACACTCCTCCAACCGAGCACGGTCTAGGCTCCGTATCCAAAGTTCGAACCCATATTGCCCCGGGAATCTGCCAAGCCCATGTGAGACCTGTGGCAAATCCCAGACATTCCCAGTTTTCAGCTTGCAGACGTTCCGCTGATGTTGGGTTCCTCAAACCGGGACATCCTTGCTCAACCCGCAAGAAATCGCGGCACAGGGTGTCATTTTGTGCTTATCCCGATTGATCTTCAAAAAAGGCGTGGACAAGTCCAACAATTCTTCATCCCCTTTTGGTTTCCTCTCTGGAAACGACAACTGATCAAGTGCCGGTTGCTCTTCGCACCTGAAGCCGGCCGTCGAAGTTGGCGAGGCGCTTCATGTTGATGTTGCTGGGCCCCAAGGGCTTCAAGCGCTGGAGATCCTCCAGGTAGAAGGGGATCGGCTTCAGGGGGCAGATCCTCAGCCCGTTTGCTTTATGGGCCCACAAATAGGAGCTCGAAAAACAGGCCGAATGTATACGTCCACGAAAGAACCCGTGCATGGACCCCTGGCATCATAGGGTAAACTCACAACTTATTGCTGAATTGCGGGAACTCACTGCTTGTGCACCTCAAGGAATTAAGGAACCCCTGATACCGTCCCTAAGTGCCCCTAAGTCGGCTGGTAACCTTGATTTTCAACATGGCCTAAATGCATCCTGTAGGCAACCTTTGGTCCAATTGTAAGTTTGTCAACATTGCCTAAGAGAAAAGAACAACGAGAGAACCCCACTAGAGGTTCCCTATCTTTGACCTCTCTGCCGGCCCGAAACAACAAGCAGGTTGCCAAAGAACCAAAACAACTCACTCTTTCCCCTCTCTCCCCCGTTTGTGTTGTATGTACCCGTTTTTCCCCAACTAGGTCCTCCAGTACAGAGGCTAGACCAAGGGTGCCCTTTTTTCTGTAGTTTATTTTAGTAAGGGAACCCTCCCCCAAAATAGAAAAACAGTAAGAGGGCACTACTACTGGGGGACCTAGCCAAGTTCTTCGGGTTTCGACAATCCCGAGCCCCGCCTCTGCACTGCGACCATGAGCCTCCGGAAGGCCTCGAAGAGCTGCGTGCGCCCGAAGGCGCGGTAGGCCTTGGTCACCGGCCACAGCGCCAGGATCCGGCAGAAGCTGCCGCCGCCCAGCGAGCCGTAGACCAACGTCTCCTGGCGCTCTTCTTTTTCATATACGTTTCGAGTGTGCCGTTAGACCCGACTTGAAATGCAGAGGATGCGTAGTCATGATTGTCATGATAACTGCTGCTGATGCTGGGGATGCATAGTGATGTTTATCATCAGGATGTTGTCACTGTCAATCCAAACCTTTCCCTCACCCGCCCCCCCACCCTTCTATGTCTGCGGTCCTTCAAATTAAGGCCTTTGTAAAGAGTTGATTCGGGTGTTTTCGGGAAACGACGGAGGGGGGTGAAGTCTTATCTTATCCGTCGTTGGGAGGGTTGTCAGGCCCTAAGGGTTTAGATCACCATGAGGTTGCCTGTAAAACGAGCCATACATGACGCTGGCCCACAGGATTTTCTCCTGCCTCGCCACCTCACCTGTCCTCACTTTGACTTGATCTGTTGGTCTTTTGTCGAGGGCAAAGCAATTTCACATACACCCAAATCTCCGAGGCTCCCCGGCGGCCCCTGCGCTGAAGCTGGCCCCTGTGAACCCTCAAAGAAGGCAAGCCGCTCACGAGTTCTGCCCAGCGAGCACAAGCGCCAAGGTTTCAACCGTTCAACACCGGAAGCGGCTTCCTCGCATCGAACACAACTTGTTATCCAGGTAGGCTCCAGGGGTTGGGTGTTTGTTCCAAAAAGGGGGGAACGGGGGAACCACTGGGTCTAAGCCTACCTTAGAAGAATATTAGGGGATATTGAATCACACCCCACAACCCCATTCCAATTACCGGGCTCTTGTCGAGAAATGGAACCCAAGCATAGACCTTCATTCTTCTCAAGTCAACCATCGTTGTTTTAAAACATCATCCATATCCCCTCATCGTTTGGTGAGTTTCGGGAAAGAAGGATCCCTTGGTTCAACAGGGGAATACTCGATGGAACCCAAACCTCTAAAAGGGGCACCTCCCAATCAAAATCATTCAGGGCTCAACACATGTCAACACAAATGAATCCGTCGCGATTCCGTCAAACGTAATCCGCAAATGAAACCCAAGACTCCCCCCCCTCCCCGCACCCCTCGCCCCTCGCCCCTCCCCTCCTCGCCTGCATGTTCTCTTCAGTGTGCATCTTCCGGATCTCCGCAAGGCTGCTGTTGAACATGTGCGGCGGCAGCAACTCGCTCGCGTTGAAGCGCACTACCTAAAGCACACCGGATGCGGCATGGCCAAAATGAGCCATTCCAGCAAAGGACATGGTGACTCGAATGACTATGGAACTATGGGTGTTTATGAGGGTACCCTTTTCGGCTTGTTCTAAACAGAAGGCAAAACGAGAAAACACCATGTGCCGTGCACATACCCACATGTGATGTGACCCAATAAGCAAACGGAGGGCAACCTAAATGAGGCCCCTTGGGCTCGACTTTTCCGTAAGCAAACATCAAGCAAAGGAAGCTCATGTTCAAATTGAGCCGAAAAGCAACTTCTTACCCTACCAAAGCAGGAAATATGAGGGAACCCTGAAACATTGCGTGTCTGGCTACACTACACACTGTCACACCGACATCTCGTTTTCAAACATGTAGAGGTCGTGTTTCTGGGGCTTGATTCACCATGAAACTGCTGTTTGTGAGCTTGCGTCATGTGTTTTCTTGCAGGGGCTTCTGCCATGCGGTGGGGTGGCTTCCTCTTGCATGAGAGCTTTGGGTTGGGGCTATTCAAACCCGGTTTAGAGCAGAGACCTCAGGTGGTGACTAGAAGGGCACGCATGCGGCGTTGCGGGCTACTGCAAAAGCAAAAATAAGTCATGATCATGGCAAAACGACTGGAAGCATTTTAACCCCTACTGTCTGGGTACACTCCCACTGGAAGCCAGCTGAATCCCTCTCCCGGGTTGGCCAAAAAACAAATCCAGACTTTTTGTTCGCCAATCATGGTCTGCCCCAAAAAGCTTGAAGTCCAGGAACTGAAGCCGCTTGAATCCCCCCAGAACCTGGGACCATGGGCGAGCTCCTTCCGTCCGCTTCCCGCTTGCCTTGCCCGCCGCGAAGGCTTGGGGGATCTCTTTCAGCGGCACCATGTGCGGCAGCGAGGCGTCCTCCGCCAAGGTGCCGTTCTCCACCTCGGCCCAAAACGGAAGTCGGACACTTCCAACCATTCTTTCCAGGGATCCGAATTTCTTTTCAGAAAACCATCAGAAGGGGAAACAGCGCTCGGCTCTTGAAAAGAACGATGGTTGGAACCAACCCCTAGAAAAACGGAAGTTGGAGGCTTTGGCAAAAGAACTTCCGTTATTTGTGTCTGGTGTTTCGGCGAGACTGCCCCATAGTCATCCCCTTCAATACCATAGATGACAGCAAACATGGACTGCTCTGATCCCCACTTTACGCGGTAGAAGACAGCAGGCTGGGCCTGTCTGATGCTTCCAGATGAGGTGGGTGGTTCCATGAAAAGCGCAACAGTTTCTCTATCCAAAAATTCGGTCACCTCCCATGGAGCGACCAGATGATCCATGCGGGGTCGACTTCAAGTCTAAGTCAGAGCCGCCCGTCCAACACACCAAAACCATCTGTCAGCCCGACTATTGGCTGCTCCACGAAACTCACGGGTGAATATTGCTTGAGAATGCCTAAGGGGTGTGAAGTTCCAAGCTGCACGCTTGTGGATCAAATGCCCTGTGTCTCGCCCTCAGCGGCCCTCAGCTTCATCCCACAAGCACCCCAAACCTCCAGTGCGCAGTGCACAATGAAGAAAGGACATGGATTTGTACTTGGGTTGACTTTAAGAGGAAGATTCGTCCAACAGAAAGGACAACAGGGTGAACCCCACTGGCGGTCTGAGGCCTTGACAACAACCATTGGTTGCTGTACTCTCTCCAACCACCACCAATTCAACTACTTGAGAAACCTGAGAGGCCAGAATGAGTGACCCTCATAGAAAAATAAATGGAACCATTTCATTTTGGGGTTTACTAGGTTTTTAGTTGGGAGACAACCGAACAAAGAGCAAAACAAACAATTAGAGGGTGGAATCCACTGAACAACTGGGCTGATGTTGACCAAGTGTTGCAAGCAAGCCTTTGGCTATCCTTGAAGAGGCTTGGAAGGCTGAGTGACGGGGTAAGACAAGTAGGTGCACGGGGAGAACAAAAAAAACGTTGGAAGACTGGTTCAAGCTCTGACGTTTGTCAATCCAATTCCGATGAGAGAGGTCGAATGAAGCAGGGGGGGATTTGTGCTTGTGTTGTTTGAAAGACGGACCTGAAAGCATTTTGATTAAAAGTCTAATCCATATTCATTAAAAGCGAAATGCTTTTTGGAACTTCAAAAGAGATGGGTTAGGAGTCCAGTCCCACTTTATCTGGGTCATAAAGACACACCTGAAGCATTTCAAATCAACGACCCAGGACTTCAGAGACGCGGAGAGTCTGAAGATCGCCGGCCAGTGGGCGTTCTTTTCTTCAAGGCCTCGCAGAGGCCCATCCCCATGCGCAACCCCGAGGGCTGTGGCTGGGTCTGAAAGTAACCCCAAAAATCGAGGTGTTCCCGTTGGTTCACGCACCCCCCTTACAAAAGGACTCTCGGTGGCCCTACTTGGAGACCCAGGAAGTGCCACAAGCCCTTTCAATGAGAGATCCCAAAGCCGCGCGTGCCTACCAAACAAGGGCTTGCAGGAACATGTTGACTGACCAGGTCTCCCATGGCCGATGCCTGAGGCAGGGTTGGGGGCAAAATGTTGATAAATTTACGGGAGTACATCACCTCTACACCTCTCCACCCCTCCCCACCATCCCACGACCCCGCGCCTTTGTCCCGCAGCACCTCCTCCCGCCGATGTTTGCCCTCCGCCCGCAGGCTCCGCAGCACCTGCTGCGCCGCAGGCGGCAACGCCCGGAAGGCCTCGCTCTCAAAAGACCGGGCGGACAATCGGAGCCTCCGATTTAACGAGTTTCGGGGGGGGGGAGCCGGGGGAGGGCCGCGAAGCTTTTGAGTGGCGCAGAGTTGGTACCCTTCTTGGCTGGGTGGCTCGTCGTTTTTGGAGTCGGTGCCCTTGTTGGCACGTCCCAAAGGCCCCTTCCGAAGGGGCAAGGGCCAGGGCCAAAGCTCCGGCTGCGAGCCTCGGGACAGACCTGCGCCCAGGCGTTCAGGTTCTCCTGACCGGTCGGTGGCCGCCATTGAGGGCCCAACAAGGGCGTGAAATTGCCACATGACAATTCAGGGCTGGGCACAATGTGTGGATCACGAGAGCTGGTCAAGCACGCGTTGAACAGTGGGCTGCCTGACATGAAAAAAGGGCCCTAGTGCAAACAAAGTTGCCTGTCTGGGGGTGAGCTGGTGCTTCAAGGTCGAAAGGAGCCTTCCGACGTGCGCGCGCGCGCCTCAAAATCGGCAAAGCATCCTCCATTCAAGCGCCGCCCCGGGCCGCTTTCCTTGAACCCAATGGGTCTTTGTCGAACCAAAAAATCCCCACCACTCCTCCGTGGAGTAAGTGTAGGACTCCCGGGTGTCCATGAACCACGCCGCAGCCTCGCACAGG